CTTTGTATCTCATAAAAACAAGTCAAACCAATGGCCATTACTTATGCCAGTGTTCTATATGTTATAAATAGCCATCCAATAGTTTTTCACCTTATCAATACAATTATAATCTGGGATTACCACTGCAACTTTTTAAAATGAAGCTCAGATAAAACTACAGACGATTCTCTCGGGTAGAATCACAATTAAGTATATGTGAGCTTAGATTTGTAATGGGCCATAAGGATGAAAAAAAATATCTAAGGTGTTACTTGAACAACATATATTTGCATTTAGACTCCTGGGCAGGCATGGGCTCAATGCGCTGTAATCCCAGCACTTTGGGAGTCAGGCGAAGGCAATCACTGAAGTTCATGAGTTCGGAATTCAGCTAGTCAACATGGCAAAACTCTTACTAAAATACAAAATTAGTCGACCATGGTGGCTACCCATCAAAACTATAAATTTGAGGAAGAAAACACATTCTTATATAAATCTAATAAAAGGAGCTATAACATCAATGTTCAGAGAGGGTGCTATGTCATTTAAGTTCATCCAGGTTGGTGGCCTCTCTGAGAACTATCCAAACCTAGTAGATACAACCTAATGTTTATTTTGGTTCTTATAATTGCATTTTTCAAAACTAAACTATAAATTTTTAAATTTTTTTTCATAACATTGTGTTTGGGATTTTGAGTTCTTTATCTGAACTGTTTTAACACAAGCCTCAGGAATAGTGTTCAAGTATCTGTCTTTTATCAGTTAGAAAACTTAATTAACCATTAACTGTTATCAATTTAAGGTAGAGGTAGAGATTTCATCATCTTACTTCTAGCTATCTGTGTCACAAATGTTGGTTTGTATATATATATATATATATTTTTTTTTAAAAGGCACTAGACTTAGAAATGCCAAAGTAATTAATTTTCTTTATTTTCAGAAACAATTTAGTGTTCATGGTACGAAGTGTTTCTAAATTGAAACACTTTCAGATTAATGGATTTAAGATAACTGGTTGCTCTTTTCTATAAGTAGTAATAACGAGATATGGCTTCAGCTACATATCAGATACCAGATCTCACTCCCTCTTCCTTTATTTCATTCATCCATTAATTCAGCAAATATTTTTTGAGCACTGAAATGCTCCAGACACAGTGCATGAACCCTGAAAATGTAGGCAAATTGCATAACCCAAGCAAAGGGCCAGAGATGAGCAACAGCATGGTACATACCCCAAACTAACAAGTTCAATATGGCTAGGAAATATCATTTAGATGGAAGAAGGATAGGTTGGGGTAGGAGGAAACATAATAAATTATGAATTTAGAGATGTAATCAAATTATGAAGGGTCATGAAAGCCTTATACAAGATTTTGAGTTTGATCTCCATAGAGTCATATAATTAGATTAATTTTAGAAAGCTCATAGAGTCTGCAGTGTGGAAAGTAGATTAGAAGGGAGCAGGCCTGGAGGCAGGGAGATCATTTGGGAGACTTTGCCAGGACAGAGAAAATGGTGGTCTGAACTAGGATGGTGGCAATGGGAATGGAAAGTAGACATTTAAGAGAATATTTAAGAGTACTTATTTAGTTCAGACATTCCTTAAAGAATAAGCCTAACCATATTCTTGATCATCTAATTAAGGTCTATTCCTTCTCAAGGACAGCTAAGTAAACTAATAATTGATTCTAACTGATGTAATTGAACGGTTCAAAGCAGTTATTCATCATTAGAAATAATTGATACTGGTCAGATAATACCTACTGAGAGCCAGTCCCATTAATTATCATCATAATTATAATAATAGCATTTAAGCCATTTCCTTTCTCAGCATTTCCTATGTTCCAGTTTTATAGTGCTAAATATTTTAAATGGTTTATATTACTTAATACTCACAATAGCGTTACAGGTAGATATTATTGTAATCTCCATTTTACAGGTGGAGACCAAGGCTTAGAGAAGTTAAGTACTTTGCCTAAAGTTACACAGGTTGTAAATGGTAAAGCTGTTATTGGAACCCAGTGACTTTTTATTTACTGGCCCAATTAGGATTAGAACCCAGCTCTATCCTGCGTTATTACTTATAAGACTTTTATTTTTGTTGGGGTTCATTGCTAATATTCTGTACAACTTCATTTTAGCCCAGTCTTGCATATAATCATATTTCTGCATAAATAAGATAAGCTAGAGTTTGAGTGAGCACATAGTAAAGAATATTGACTATTTTTTTTTTTCTTTCCAATTAGTTAGGGTAAAGCAAGTGTGAAGGGAAGTAGATGGTAAGGCATTTTGAGGAGGCAATCAAATATGTTTTTTTCTAATTATATATTTCCAAGCCAATAATTTCTTTGAAGAAGAATGTTTTAAGCGTGTTTCTTTACCATGTTAGGCCAGTAGGTACAGAGAAAATAATATTAGCTCTTTATGTCAGCATAGGTAACAAAACCTTAAAAAATTCACAACTGAATGAGACAGTGAAGGCCGTTGACAAGAGAGGTTACATTACTTCAGCCAGGGCTACTGCAGTGAACCAGAAAAAGAACTGTGTTCTAGACTTCCATCCCCAGGCCACATCTTAACTGACTCTGAGGGCAGTTTAGCTGTCCAGGAAGAACTGGATTGCTAACTCTGATAATTTTGCAACAGTGACAATAAAGAATGAATTTTAAAAAGAAAAATTTGTCTCCCTGAACTATTGAACTCCAGAAAAAGTAGTACTTACAGTCTTTGCTTTAAGAGAAACCAGTAAAAAAAGAAAAAGAAAAAAAAAAAAAGCCATGCAAATAAATGAATAGTGTCCCTTTGAATGAGAATATTTTCCTACTTGCAAAATAATATAATGAAAATATTTTTGTTTCTATGACTTTGTCTTAACACTTTGTGTAGCATCAGCTTCTGAGAGATAATCGAGCTGAAAGAGGACACAAGAAAAATTGTTCTGTGAAAACAGCCAGCAGGTAAGCAATTCAAAATCACTTTTGATTCATTCATTTTCTTTTTTCTATGCCTATAAGAATGGAATGAATTGTTGTTAGGTTGCCTTTGGTTCTAAAAAGTCACTTTAAAATATTTTATGTATTGTTTATTGGAATCTATTTTAGGGTTACTAGTAATGAATAAAAAGATATTTTATTTATTTTTTTAAACTTGTAAACAATAATTAATTTTTAAAATAAAATATTTATCTCCCTTAACTATTGAATTTTAGATCAACATTTACAATAATAATTCACTTTTAATCTAATAAACGGGCTTAATCTCTTTCCCTAAACTTAAGTGGCATTTAGACCTTATGAGAGAGAAATATGTATATTCTCATAACATATAAATGAGTAAAGACTGGGAAGAAAGTAGTCTCTTTTAAAGAGTGCTTTTAGAATCTTGTTCATTTTTTCCAATGTTGGATTTTTCCATAATATCAGGAATTTCCCCCAGTTTGTTTTTTAGACAATATGTTTTCAAATTTTGCAAATGGGGTTTCTTAATTTTTAGACTTAATTTTTGTTTAGATGAAAATGGCTACCCTTCTTGTCAGAATGTTGATTAGAAAAACTGCCCTGATATTTACATTTGTTTTATCCTTGAGAAGAGACAACTGACCTCAGCAGCCACCATTGCATCCCATGGCTTCCCAGTGGTAGTGTGCTGTCCACTGACTTTAACATTCCCAAGTAACCAAACTACAGCTTCAAAGTGCCATGTTGTGCAGATAAATGTCAACTGAGATCCCACTGGGTGTCTACAGAAGCAAATGCAAATCCTACCTAGCATATCTAATGTAGACAATCAAAAATCGCCAAACGTAAAATGAGATAATTCACCATCAGTGATAGTCAACATAAACGACTAAGAGATTTTCTCCTAAGACTGCCAGATCCTAAAATTATAAGATATAGATTATAAAATAACTATGGATGAGACATTTATAGAAATAAAATGAACAAGCAACAAATCACTATAAAAATGAATCAGTATGAAGTGAAAAATACATATAATTTTTAGAAATGGGAAATGTGATTGTTCAAGAGATAATTAGTGAAATGAAAGATACATCTGAAGAATGGACCAGAATATAGTATAAAAATTCAAGGAGTTGAAAAACTGAAGGAGTACGTAAGAGACATAGAAGATCTGTGATACTGTCAATCATAGTCCTTGATGAAAAGAATAGAATAGCTGAAAAAAACATGAAATTTGATGAGATGGCCGCTAAGAATTCCCAAACCTGGTAAAAGTTATAAACCCATAGATACAGATACAAAAAGCACAGTGAATAACATGCACGATAATAAAACGAAATCCACACCTAATAATATACCATAGTAGACCAAAAGTGAAGACAAATGTTAAAAGAATCAAGATAAAAGGCAAATTATCTACAAAGGAATGACAATGATATATCAGATTTCTCAGTAGCATAGGTGAGGCCAGAAGACAGTGGAATCATCCTCATTGTGCTGCATGAAAATAAATTGTCAACCTAGAACTATGTACCTGGAAATCCATCTTTCATGTACAAAGATGAAATAAAGTAATCTTAAGATTTTCAAAAAGAGGGAATGTTTACAGACCTTTGTGAAGAAGTTTTAAAGGGTGTATTTCAAGAAAAGTCCCAAGGAAGGTCTGAGAGGCAAGAATGAATAACGAGCCAATATACTGATTAAAATGTTTATATAAATAATCATTGCTTATATAGAGGGATAATTGTAATAATGTAATTTGTAGGATGTTTAAAAAAAAATTTTTTTTTTAATTTGAGACAGAGTTTCTCTCTTGTTGCCCAGGCTGGAGTGCAATGGTGCAATCGCCACTCACTGCACCCTCCGCCTCTCAGGTTCAAGTAATTCTCCTGCCCCAGCCTCTCAAGTACCTGGGATTACAGGCATGTGCCACCACACCTGGCTAATTTTGTATTTGTAGTCTCTACTACAAATAGTAGTATTTCTCTACTACAAATGGGGTTTCACCATGTTGGCCAGGCTGGTGTCGAACTCCTGGACCTCAGGTGATCTGCCTCCTTGGCGCTTCGCCAACAGTGCTGGGATTACAGGCATGAGCCAGCTGCAGCCCCGGACCCAATTTTGTAGGACTTAGAGGCAATCTAAAATAATGGACAAAAAAAAAAAAAAAAAGAAGAAAAGAAAATAATGGAGCAGGGCAATGCATGTGGAAGTTTTAGCAGAGTTTTTTTTGGTGATTAATAGTGAAAAGTCCATGTTAAGGGTCCTTTGAAATTGTTTTAACACGTCTTACGCTCCAATTAGTTCACCGTCAGCATTTTTGAGCATTTGATAAGACTAGCATTAAGTATGTCATTGGTAAAATATCTAAATAAGCTTTCTAAGATTCAATTTTAGAAAATGGAGTATTATGAATTACCAAGTGAAACGCAGTTGGACAGGGGGGGAAAAACCTGGGAGGCCTTGCCAAATATTTGCCCCCAACCGCCGAGAAAAATAATTCTGTTTTTTTTTAAAAAGTGAGGGGGCAGTGAACAACGTTAATGCCCTATTAGATCTAAATTCCAGCAACTTTGGAAAAGGCTTAAACCAGAAGGATTGCATTCGAAGCCAGGAGCGCTCTGAACCAGCCTGGGGCAACATAGTGAGACGCACCTGCCGCGATCTCTTACCGCTATGAACAAAAAAAAACAGTGAAAAGAAAAAGCCATTGAGAAAATAAGATACAGACAAAACATAAAATTAGAGCCAATTGAATTCATATCAACATACAAGCCACACACACACATCACACAACACAGCCA